GATTGCTGCGATCGGCGAGAAAGTGACTTAAGTCCGAAAGATCACTGTTTCTGAGAAAATCGCAAATGTGTTTTAAATTAAGGAAAGTTAAGATAACCTTTGCACAGCTTCGTCAGTAAACAATTCTGGAAAGAACTTTGATTTTGCAATGCTAATAAAGTTCTACCCATAAATCTAGTAGGTCCCACCGTTCACTGTTTATACTTTTCAAGCGGCAAACTTTTTCTTTCTCGATAGTTACCAAAAAAGGGTGCCGTTCATAATCATTTACGGTTCCTTTTTGTAGAGGAAATTTATTTAGCTTATAGATAACCCGCCTTGCGTGCTTTTGCGCACACTGAAAGCGTGTTGTGCTTTTTCGCACGGAGCTTTTGTTTGAAAACTTTAACACGCTCTTTTGTTCGACTTGCTCACGCTTAATTGTCTCAAGCGTGTCCTCTGAAACAAAAGAAATCGCTAATGAGGCAAGATTGCAAGCGTGCTAAAGCGTGTTAAAATAAATTCTTTTGTTTTAAAGTGAAAGCGTGTCGTGCGCGTGCTTTCACCTTTAGCATTAAAATCCTGTGGAGGGTCACATTTTCTTTCAAGATTCTCTTTACATCTTTCCATTTGAACAATAGCCAACAATCAGCCTGACTGTCTGAGCCGCATATTCTCTCTTCCCGTTAATTGCTTCGAGGCAGTTTGAGGTCGCGGGTGAGGACAACAACGCTTGATACATTTTTTCGACGCCTTGCATAATAGTAGTCTTGAAAACACATACAGATACTGTACATTTGTTTTCTAAAGTGGCCTCCACAACATATAAACAACAATTCAAATCTAGTGTGTTTCGGTATGGATACTACTACCAGGATACCTAAATTATTTTTGACTGCACAAACGGTGAACCCTCCGCGATTTCCGTGGCACGTGCCAAATGAAAGCATCGCTGATAAACATCCGATTAACATCCAGATATTCTCCAGGTAGTTACGCTTTCGCTGTCAAGGACTTTGTGCATTATTTTCCTTGTTCAAGATCACGTCAGGTACACAGTTTGATGGCTGCACTGACCTGTCTACGCGTTCAAGATCACGTCAGGTACACAGTTTGATGGCTGCACTGACCTGTCTACGCTCTGTAGAGACAAATCTCACACTTACCTTCCCCTCCCCCAAATCGTTTGTTTGTAATCTCCCAGATTCTGGGAGACACGTGACCAGCGTTTTCCAGGGTCTCTCTCTCTCTCTCGCTCCATGGGGGCGGGTAGGGGAGAACCCTGGGAACGAGGTTGGTCCTAGTCCTAGTCATAAAGTGTCCCAACCAAGATGGCGGCCGCCATGCCTTCATTCAAGATGGAGGATTCAAATGGCAGATGACCTCAGTTACTAAGGGACTAGTAAAAGGGGAGTTTATTTATGAGAATAAACATGTCAGCTCACCTTTGTGGGATAGAATTTGTGTCCCCTGCGCAATTGTGGACGACGCATGCGCACAAAGTCAACTTGGGTCAAAACGTTTCAAAACGTTTTCTAAGGGTTTATGGAGTGTGTAGAACGCATGCATAATACAATCAGACCGTAGTTATAATAAAACAATGTTTTTAGTCTACTACAAATGTGATTACATTCAAAGATTCTCTCTGTTTCCTAGTTTAAAGTTGCTAGTTCCAATTGCTTGTTCTTTAAATTCCATACGACTTGATCTTTGGACCGGCATACATCTCATAGTTAGAAATCACGTTCTGACAAAACGTGTCAAACAATTCTTTGTTAAAGTCCAATAAATGCTGATTCAATGTGTTAAAATTAAGATGATGATGACAGATGGCTTGGATAATCAACCTTGTACAATGGAAGGATCCACATGCCCTAAAATTGGATCTAGACTGTTGCAGGGTTCCATCATAAATGATTGAGTCCATGCTGATGCTTGCTTTTTATCCTTATGAAGTAGGACCAGTATTACATCAGGTCGCCTGTTTGCTAATAGCTTGAAAAAGGCGGTGGTTTCTCGGTTCAGTTGAGTAAATATGACTTTGTTCAGCGCATACAAGTTGTAACTCAATTCATCAAAGGTAAAGTTGGTGTTGGCCAACGCTTCAATGAGTAAGGCACGCATAAATTCTTGGTAGGAAGAAAATTTACCAGGATCCATGCGTCGTAACAACAATTCCAATTTAATGGACTGTGTCGCAGCCATGTTGTTCCTGCAGGTCATTTACCACTGTCTTGAGTCTAGTGACTTCCCTCTGGGTGTTCTCCAATAACTCTTTGAGACGTTTGATGTTGTCTAACAGTTTAGCGCAATAGAGAAGTGATTTGCCAGCAACACTGATCCACTCGACCTCACTCATTATGATGACACATCAACAGAGTCCGTGCTTATATAGGCAGGTCACGGTCCACTGACTCTTCAATCCTAATGTATTTCCTTTGGGACTCTTCCAGTTTCTTTTTAAAAAACAGGGTACAATTACAGGACTATCTTGATTGGAGTCTGGTATACTTTTATTCCATTCTGTCAAGGTGACTTCCAAAACGTCTACCAAATGACTTCGCAGAGAATAAAATTGAAGTGGGTTACATTCAATCAAGGTGTTTTCGTTCTTATAAGCGACAGTCTTCATGATAGTGTCGTTGCCATATACACCTTTGGTTAAATTACAAGGCAGAAACAGAGGACGTGTGTTGACTTGTCCGTGATTTTTGGGGGTGATGGAAGCTTTCTTGTCTCCTGTACTGGTAGTAATCGTTTCTGTCGTTGGGTAGGTGGTGCGTATCACTGGGTGGTCATCGTACACATAGAGCACATGTTCCACATGACCTTCCACTCCAAACAGAACTAAAAAAGTGTTGTCTTTCAATTCATCCGGGTATTTATCAAGCAGTGGATACCCAATTTCAAACTTAATATTCAGTGTAGCATCGTCACGGACAGATTTGGTGAATTGAATTGTAAGGGTGTAATAATAATTCAAATGAGTCTTGTTCTGCTCATGAGTATGTTTTTGAATGGTCAAATACTTGACTTCCAAACCCTTAAACAACCACGCATCTTTTTGGTACCATTCTAAGGCCACGGTATAGGTTTTGTTTTGGGTTAAGGAGCTCATAACAATCTCCAGTTCCCCATTGTATTCACCTTTGGACACACCACCCACAATTTTGACCCCTTCCAATAAAGATACACTGAGGGTCGTGGGTTTGCAATAATGAGGAGACACAGGGAGGTTCACAAAGGAGTCTTCCAAGTCCAGTCCAGATACTGTTTTCCATAACTTGAGATCATCCAGGGTTTGAAGACATTGCTTTCTGTTCTAGGGGTTTCATAGGGTTGACGAATCACTTTGTCAAAGGCCTCATTTAAATTGACAAACCGCCAAAGAAAGGTAGAGGAAAGATAAACCAATCCATTTGCCACATGAATGGGTTTAGTAAACGTAAATTGACTATTCTTATAGGTCGCCGGATCAGGTTTGACGGTGGTTTGGTTATTTTGAAGTTCCATGATTAAATTGGAGCCCACATCATACACACCGCTGGCTGTTTCTTTGATCCAACCCATCCGTTGGGCTAGGAGAAGATTGATGGCGAAATAGGGTACACTTTTTTGATTCGTGGGGTTAATATCCGTAAAACGTAACAACCACGTCGTGTAATTGTCTTCAGCGGTAATGGTCATTCACCAAAAGTCAAGAGCATCTGTATAAGCATACCCTGTGGGTAATTGTTGGTTTCAATCCTTCTCCATCCAGTGAAAGACTTTGCCCATAAATTCAAAACCATTGGAGGCATCTTGCAAATCCGATTTTTGGAGTGTGGACAAAATCTCTTTCGATTGATTTTTGCTGAACGCTTTGCATATTGGTGAAATAAAATATCGGTATTGCTGTCTTGATAACGTGAAGTAAAGGTGTAGCAATATTCAGTAACGTGGCGTCGTTATTGGTGTTAATGACGGTGGGACTATGACCCACATCCGCGACAGACATACTCCACAAACTGGCTTGCCATTGGTTGCCTTCTCAATTGAGTCGAACGGGTAAACGCACTTTAAAACTATTGTTTTTGTTGTGGGGGTATTCATCTGTGGGATCGCTGATTAGCGTGATACGAAATTCCTTCATAGCACTTGCAAATCTTTTTTCCTCACCCAGCTATTGTACTCTTTAGGCCAGCCTTTCCAAAATACAAAGACTTGATTGCCTTTGCGTTTTAACACTTGATCAATACGAAATAATGCGTCATCGGGTAACACGACTTTTTGAATATCCGATTCGTAAAATGTGCCTTTTATAGGGGTCCCGTTCCATTCTGTCAGTTTATACGTGACCACAGGTTTCGTGGTATAAATTTGTTTCACTAAAAACTCCTTTTCGGTCCACCCAGGCAAATAGCCTTTTTTAAATGGTCGAAATTTTTTATTCAATCTTACTTTATCCGCTACTTTACATTTGGGTTTTTTGACGTCTTTCTTCTTCTTTTTACTACCGTACAAACGATACCAAATCTCATGTTCATTTTTGGCTGTGACATTGACAGGTTTTTCTTGAATACTACGATAAAACGAATGATTTTAGGTTTTCACGAGAGCAGGTAACACCTCAATATAATT